TAGCTTTTTCGGCCATCTTTAACTTTTGTGAATCGCTGCCTTGCTAAACACGGCTGGATATGCGGAATGCGGTGAAACTTCCCAGTTTAAATTGAAAATTATTTGCTTGATTGTTTTTGCTGTTTTTCCTGTGGATAATTAATCACTTCTCGACTTCGTTCGAGCTTTTGTTGTCTTTTTTCCTTTGGCACTGCACTTCAATGGTTTAGCCGGGCTTGATACCGTTCAGATGTAACAGTTTCACCAGGCTTTAAAAGTTCATAGTAGATATCCCTTGCCCAATCCCACCAAACATACAGAATACTTTCTTGGCATAAATATTCTTTGCTTTGCATGAGATATGTATGGCCGCACTGGATCAGACCATGCTCTTCTTTGTTTAGGATTATCGTACAGGTACAGGCTTAACAAGTTTAACCAGATATCAACTCTTCGAGTTTTTAATTCTCTTTGTTTAGCTCATAAACAATTCATTTTCCTTCCTTCAATCTACTACTAAAATTTCATCTCTCATTGCTCTTAGATGTTAGATTTTTTCCTTTAACACCTTTCGCAGAGCTTCTGATATTTAACTGTTCTATCACTTACTACCGCTGCCATTAGTTTAGTTAAGTATATATTAGCCCAGACCAAAACACAATAACATGCAATGGCGTAAGTGTTGCTTGTTGACATCCATCTCTTCAAACTCTGATATACGCTGAATAAAAGCTTGCAAGCAACCGAAACTTACATTGTTCAAATATCAGTATCTAATCGAAGTTATATACATCTGAAATTTGGGGAAAATTGAACGATCACGTTTTACCAAGCAAACAATTTCAACGGAACGCAATTGTTTATACATCGTATTATTGTAAAGAGAAAAAGAAGTGAAGCCATTACAACAGTCCTCGGCCCACCGTTATGTAGCGTACACCATTTTGCGTAGCACCGTCGTGCGTACAACGGTTTTTTTTTTTTAAATAACGCGTTACATCGGAAATGTACTCTAGTCCGAAACCAAACTTCTTTGAAAGACCGCAAAAATCGCAAGCTGTTGTTTGAACACTGGAATATCAATCAAAGGGACAAATTGAAATGTTTTTAAAATAATTCTCAATTCATGGATATAATTAAAGATGGGTCTATCTCAAGTCGTTGTGAGTTTTATATAAAAGTGACGCAGGGAGGGTATGAATAGCCGCCGGGCCGTAACCGCATCCGGCCTGCGATGTCGTCGAGTTCGGCCCGCTAGATTGAAAATTTCAAATAATTCAATTTGGTCGCACATAACAATTCTGAAAATGGATTGTATGTGCCTTCACGACCAGCTCTGCTCTTTAAGTGTTTTTTTTTAAGCCATTAATATGAGGAATTTAAAAACAAAGAACATTGATACACAATGCCGTGTTTTTAATAATAGTTCGATGTTGTTCTGGCCACCGCCGTTACACGAAAGTTATAATTGGCTCACTAATGAAAAACGTGGCCCTTTCCTGGTGCAGGGTAAACAAAGTGTATACACTTTTAGCACATTTCTGAGTTAGGTACAACCGATAGAAATCAATATATTCGATCGAATTTACGAATCATACCCAAACATTAAAGAGTTAGATACGAATTTAGATACGAGTTGGATAGAGGCAGGAGGGAGTTGATTTGATAGTATTTACTGTTTCGCAAAATCTCTGAGAAGCATGCTTTCCGCCCTTAAAAGGAGATTATAACAACATGCAGTTATGTTGTGCGTGTGTGTTTGTGTGTATGTATGTGCTCAAATTACTGGGATTCGTCTTTCCTTATTACATATAATACATATAAGTAGTGCTAATTGGTAGTTAGGACCATCAACCTAATCACACCTGAAATTATCATCCAGATCACTGTACCGAGTTAAACGCTAATTGCTGCCAAATGTTTAGTGGAAAATGTCAAATTTACCGCGTCTCTGAGATACAGAGAAGCCACACATTTTTACAATATATTTCAAATATTTTATATGTATATGCAGTAGTCGCACATTAAATATGCGAAATTAAGCTTAATGTGGATGTTGTTAGTTTTAATAAGAATTAAAAAAATTCGTCATAATTTCTACACAATGTTGATGGTTTATTAAAGATAGTCTAAAAGTAATGCATACATGAATTACTTTAAAATAAACTAAGTGCTATTTGTTTAAATTATATCCTATTAGGCATAATATTTCTCATACGGGAATATCGTTAAATTACTACTAACATACGTGTATAATAAAATAATATGAAAATTGATTATATGAAGCATTTAAACTCAACACACTCAGCTTAACCTGCCAATTATGCGTATTTTCTGAAATTTTGGGTTTTTTCGTCACTATTAGCTTATAAAAAAAAAAATAAAATAAAATAAATAAATAAATAAAAAAAAGAATGAATGAGATTATATTGGTGTGCGAGTCTCTGCTGATATGCACGTGTTGTCATGCAGCACCACTTTATACGATGTTTTTTTATATGTCTTTGATTAAAATTAGCGATTAATTAATTGCAAGCAAATAATATTTGATTAAAGCCAGATTTCCTCGCATTTGATGGACAGTGAAACCTCTACTAACAGCACATTAATAGGCAATATACATATATCAAAATTGAATCATTGCTCTTATATTTAATAAAAATCACTTAGGAAGATAGTAAGTAGTAAGTAGCCCGCTTGCTAATTAAACCAGCCTAAAATAGCCAATAAGAGATTCAATATTTCAATATATTTTTATTGATAATTTACGATATGTGAGTTAACATCGATGTATGGAATTTCAATTCAAAAATTCATGATAAAGTTTTAATATGAGAAAGGCGCCAATCGACTGATTAGTACATATAGTATATACAAAAACAAATATATATAATTATGACCCCTAAGTGAAAACTAAGCTAACTATACTCGTTCTGTCATTCGCCTTAACAGACCCAGTAAAAGTTTTTTATATGGACATGCAAGATATTTCTCATTTTTCTTCTTCAATGTAATTTGACTTCCCCCTCTTCCCTCATTTTCATTGTTCACCTCTACATTAGGTATTTACGACTACGATGCGGTTAATTCGATTATAAGAACGTCTTTTGAACATGATTGTGTGTCAATGCATTCGGCTCAACCTGAATAGAATTCCTCTTCTTTTTTTTTGTTTTCTTTATTATGCTTTGCTCAAAATTTGGGTAATTTTATACGCTCAAAAAGAGGAAAATATGCATGAAAATGAAATTTGTTTAATTTCAATCTCAAGGTCAAATTAATTGTTAATCATTAAAGCAGAAGAGATGCGAAAGATTTTTATAATTTTTTTTTTTTTTTTATAATTTTTTTGCCCCTCATGTCCACCCGCATTGTAATATAGAAAAGTGTGAAAGGGAGTACCATACGTAGTAGAAGCATTCCATTGCGAATTGCGTGGGCACTTCTATACATTGTACAGAATGATTTACCTAATCGCACCAGTAATATAATGCAATGGATATAATTTATGTGTCATTATAGCCGAAACTATCTGTTAATTGTGTATAGCTAAGATTTTAATTAATTGTTAAAAGAAATTAAGTGGACAGAAATTTTAAAAATTGAAATAACGTGACTGGAAAATCGACTCACGTTCTAGTTAGTTTCCTTTTAAAGACCTTGAGCATCTTATGCCTAACGTATGGCAAGATCGCATATTGACAATCACACAGCATAATTGATTGATAAGAGGTAGATACAAAGATATGTTTTGTGTGAGCATAAACTCATTCATATATATGTAGACGAATAAGAAAGTTGTACTCGTTACATATCACCTCACCATCTATAGCGCGTTCTCATTAAATGAAACTCAGTTCTTTTCTGTCAATCGCAAACTTGTCAGTTGAACGATCGAGATGAAATGATTAAGTTTAATATATAGGGAACAGATTTTAGATCAATTTCTTCCACGACTTGTCACTTGAAAGACAATTCAGCATAGAAACAACACAACTTGGCGAACGAAGCATTTGGGAGAAAAATTCCGAAATTTTCCTCTCGGCCAAAGAGACTATATGGAGATTTCTTAAAGTCGTTAAAGTACTTTGGATGCTGTCAGCATCCTAATCAACATAAAAAAGTATTTCGCTCATTTTTTTGGTTTGCATTAGGAAATAGGATGCAAATCATTAGTTTTTAAAGCAAACAGAGGAAATCTTATAAGAATAAAGAAAGTAAATTTTATGAATTTTATCTTCTCTTCTGGACAATGTGTATGAACGGATTGACAAATTCAATATACTTACCTCATCTTAGATAATTTTTGTTCCAGCAGTTCTAGGAAAATTTGACGCAAGAGCAAGAAAACTGATACTTTAAAAAGTGTATGCAAAAGATTTGCGACAAAACTTGTTACAAGAAACGTCAAACAGCATGCATTTGTATTAATTCGTTTAAATTTTTGTTATTCTGAAAGTAGACCGCCATGTATTTTGGAATGGAACGCCTTATACCGTTAGATGATCGATCGAATGTCCCGTTTCGCTTGTATTATCGGTTATGTAAATGCTTGCATTGTGTATGAGGATTATTGCTTGTATACGCAATTTGTAGATTCTCTTATTTTAATGCGCTAAACTGAACATAGTTCCCGGAAATAGTCTTAACGATTTCGAGCGTCACGCGACCGTTACGTGGATCTTCACACCACCAAACCCCCCCTTAATTCCACAATACTAATATTAATGCAAAAAGACGCAACACGAAAATAACATTCGTTCACTTCATCATCCTCATCAACATCATAATCTACGTCCAGTACATATTAGATTTTTTTTGATGGAAACAAAACAATTCCTACAAAAGTGAAATCAGTTGAATCGAAGACATCATTGACAACGGAGGTGGAATATTTCTCTCCTAAAAATAAAAAAAAATAAATAAAAGAAAAAAAATAAAAAATAAACACATTTTGAATGTAATATAAATCACGTTAAAGTGATTTTAAGAACAAACAAAAAACAGAACAGTGAAGCATATATAAATAACTTAAATTTATAAAAAATTTGGAGAAAAATTAGACTGTATTTGTGAAATTTGATTTTATAAATGTTTCGTAAATGTATTACAACGCTGGTGCAAAACGCCTTCTGCTCCGGTACTTCGACACACATAATCCAAGAGATTTGTCAACGTTCCATACATAATACTGCCGGATTTGTACGGCCTCCAAAAATTTTAATTACCGGTATGTTTCGTACAGCTCAGACTCAGAGATAAAAGACTTTTCGTTGACCATGAGATTTTGAAATGATTTCTTTTGGAAACTACGTAAATACTTTGTAGCGATTATATATATATATGACGTTCATATATACATATATATATATATATATATATATATATATAAATAAAAAGAAAATAGTATAAAAAGCGCTCATATTAGACGGCTCAAAAATAGCTTCATTTACGCTTCTTAAGGTCAATGCGTACAAAAATATGAATTGGGCGAATAGGATTAATGCATGTATTTTGATCTGCTGAGGGCTTAATAACTTTTAGACGGCCTATATTATCGCCGCACATCTTTTATGCAATTTGTCAAATGCCTCATTAAAATTTGTCTCAATACCGGCTGCCTATAAGAACGATACAACAAGTACCAGTAGGGAAATGCGTATCAGTTATTGTATATTTTTATGTATATTATATCTTATGTATTATTTATATATATCATATATAATATATCATATATTAAGCAATATAAGTTACATGTATACTATTATAGATAATGTATACTATATATATATATATATATATATATATATTGCGTATTATGTGTTTTAAACTGTATTATGTGTCGTACGATATAGGAGGGATCGTTATGGAAAAATATTCAGCTAATCGTAAACACAGTTTACGTTTAAAGTTTGACAAGTCGACATTACTTTGACGGCTTAATCAGAAGAAACACATCGGTTTTACGGTTATATGCAAGCGGTAAATTGTGCTCCAGACCTCCAACTATTTAATGTCCCCCGCAACAGGGCCAACAACGGCCAGCACAAATACTTCACAAAGAGCCAGAATCGGCAACCAAGGTCTCCCCCGCTCCCATGCCAACTTCTCGATTAGAAGTCTGGCCATGGGTGGCCATCGATCATTAAATACATCACCTCATCTAATAAAATTTTTCATTTATTTTCATGACAAAATATTCAGTTCAGTTATACCTTACTTCCATGCTAACGCCTGCTTTTCATATTTCAATCAGAAAAAAAATTCATATATTCTTAGCTTTCAAAATTTGATATTTTCATATATTGATAGGGTGTCCCTTGCGATGTTACATTTTTAATTCGAGTCCTTTTGAGATTAAGTTCGTTTCGCTGAGTTGTGATTTTTCGTTTAACGTAACTTGTATTTAAAGTTCTTCGAAGAAATTATTTCGAGGAACTTACAGTTACAGTGTTTTAATGCTTTTTCTGCTCATCTTCGTTTTCCACATAAAGGTGCAACTATCTTGACTCGATTGACTTTGCCCTCTCGCAAATACGTTACTTATATATCATTTTACAGTCAAACTAACCATAAATATATTAGTTTGGGGAAAAAGAAATCCATTATTTTTTCGGTAGATGGCTGCACTGATAGATTTCTCGTAAAGTATCGATCAAACAATTTCCGATACTGTACATTTATATACTGTACATTTCGCAGTAAAAAAAAATTCTTTTGCTATTTTTTGTTTGGTACATTCAGTTGTGAGTTACAGCGTGTTAAAAATGGAAGTGAACAAAGAGAAAATTCGATACATTTTACAGTTTTTCTTTGACAAAGGCGAAAATGCAAGCCAGGCGGCTAAAATTGTGAATGGTGTTTATGGTTCCGATACTGTAACAGCCAATTATGTGCAATTTTGGTTTCGTAGATTTCGTTCAGGAATTTTTGATGTTAAAGATGCACCTCGCACAGGTAGGCCGGTCGTCGAAAATGTCCATAAAATCGGAGAAATGATCGAAGTTGACCGGCATGCTAGCAGTCGTAACATCGCCCAGGAGCTAAAAATCGACCATAAAACAGTTTTAAACCATTTACACAAAGCTGGATTCAAAAAGAAGCTCGATGTTTGGGTGCCACACCAATTAACAGAAAAAAACATGATGGATCGAATCACATACGATAACCCTGTGCGAAAACGATCATGGTCAAAGAGCGGTGAAGCACCTCAAACGGCCAGGAAGGTTTTGCTATGCATTTGGTGGGACTGGAACGGGATTATTTATTATGAGTTGCTTCCATATGGCCAAACGCTAAATTCTGATCTCTACTGTCAATAACTGGACGGTTTGAAGATAGCGATTGACCAGAAACGGCCAGAATTGGCCAACAGGAGAGGTGTTGTGTTCCACCAGGACAACGCTAGGCCACACACATTTACTGTGACTCGCCAGAAACTTCGGGACCTTGGTTGGGAATTTTTAATGCATCCACCATACAGTCCGGACTTGGCAGCAAGCGATTATCATCTTTTTCTTGCATTGCAAAATTTCTTTAATGATAAAAAATTGGAATCTAGGGAGGATTGTGAAAATCGACTACTAGAGTTTTTTGCAAATAGAGACCAGGACTTCTATGAGAGAGGCATTTTGAAGTTACCTTTAAAATGGCAACAAATCATACAACAAAACGGTGCATATTTGACCCAAATCGAACAATCCGAAGCATGTTAAATAAAGTCCTGAAGTTCATATAAAAATAATGGATTTCTTTTTCCCCAAACTAATATATATGTAATATATGAAATGTTCTGCGATATGTTGTTAATCTTTTCGTCTATCGCCGTCTGCGTCGGCAAGTAGCTTATCAGGAGGGCGTACTTGATTTCACCATTTATAAAATTTGACTGCACAGAAAATCATTTGGTTTTGATGTAAACTCATTTTATCAAAAATGGCATTTTTGTAGCGATATGTTCATATGTTGCACATGCGTTGTCATTTCCGTTTCAATTTTAAGAAATATTGATCACTTCCTCTATAAAGTGAGAATATTAGCATAAAGTTTTCCCTTACATTGCGGCTACTTCTCTGTCTATCCATCTGCCCATATGCATCGTCCATGTTATAATTCTTCCGTTGTTTAAAAAGTTTTGAAGAAAGTGAAAAAGAAAATGCTCCGATCGGTATGCTGACTCGACCCTTCAATGAACGCTATATAGAGTAATTTGCAATTTTATATACTCGCAGCGCTGAATTTGTACAATGGAAAGGAGATAATAAATAAATATTCTGCACTCATTTTAGGTGGCCTTGGTCAGTTGGGTACTGAATGTGCAAAGCTGTTACGTACTCAATACGGCAGCGAAAATGTCATATTGTCAGACATAATCAAACCGAATCAAGCGGCTGTAGAGAGTGGTCCTTACATATTTGCAGATATTTTGGACTTTAAAGGCTTACAGAAAATTGTCGTAGACCATCGCGTCGATTGGTTAATTCATTTTTCAGCATTATTAAGTGCAGTGGGTGAGCAAAATGTGCCGCTAGCGGTAAGGTATGCCTACACGTATATACGTATATAAATATAAACAATCACTTTCACCATATTTCATAATGTTTCCTGAATGTTGTCAGTTATTGCTTAATTGTTCGTTTTTTTTTTTTTTTTTTTTTTTTTTTTTTTTTTTTTTTTTTT